CTCACTGTGACATCCCTGGATTGAAGAAACACAAACTGGTGAATCCCTCCAAGACTCTCCAGGACAACATCTGCTCTTGTCATGATGAGGTGATGAAGATCTTCTGTCGTACTGATCAGCAGTGTATCTGTTTTCTTTGCACTATGGATGAACATAAAGGCCATGAAACAGTCCCAGCTGCAGCAGAAAGGGCTGAGAAGCAGAAGGAGCTCCAGGGGAGTCGACAACAAATCCATCAGAGAATCCAGGACCAAGAGGAAGATGTGAAGCTGCTTCAACAGGAGGTGGAGGCCATCAATCACTCTGCTGATAAAACAGTGGAGGACAGTGAGAAGATCTTCACTGAGCTGATCCGTCTCCTCCAGGAAAGAAGCTCTGAGGTGAAGCAGCAGATCAGATCCCAGCAGGAAACTGAAGTGAGTCGAGTCAAAGATGTTGAGGAGAAGCTGGAGCAGGAGATCACTGAGCTGAAGAGGAAAGATGCTGAGCTGGAGCAGCTCTCACACACAGAGGATCACAACCAGTTTCTCCTCAACTACCCCTCACTGCCAGCACTCAGGGAGTCGACACACTCATCCAGCATCAACATCCGTCCTCTGAGACACTTTGAGGACGTGACAGCAGCTGTGTCAGAGCTCAGAGAGAAACTACAGGACGTCCTGAGAGACTCATGGACAAACATCTCACTGAAAATCACTGAGGTGGATGTTCTACTGTCAGAACCAGAACCAAACACCAGAGCTGATTTCTTAAAGTATTCATGTAAAATCACTCTGGATCCAAACACGGCACAAATGCGAGTGTTACTGTCAGAGGGGAAAAGCAAGGTGACATGGATGGATCAACTTCAGTCTTATTCCAGTCATCCAGACAGATTCACTGATTATTGGCAGGTTCTGAGTAGAGAGAGTCTGACTGGACGGTGTTACTGGGAGGTGGAGTGGAGAGGGTTACAGGTTCTTATAGCAGTTATATACAAGGATATCAGCAGAGGAGGGGATGAATCTTCATTTGGTAGTAATGAGAAATCCTGGGCATTAGAATGTTGCAAATATGGTTATGAATTTGGTCACAACAGCCTCTGGACCTCCATCCGAGTTCCGAGGTCCTCCAGAGTTGGAGTGTACCTGGACTACAGAGCAGGTGTTCTGTCCTTCTACAGAGTCTCTAAAACCATGACTCTGATTCACAGAGTCCAGAACAGATTCACTCAGCCGCTGCACGCTGGGGTTTATGTATCATTGGAGTCTACTGTTAAATTCTTTAAACCCAAATAGAGAGAATCCAATTCATCCTCCTGCAGATTTAGTTCTGATTATTGTTGTTTTATGTCTAAACTGTTCAGAAATCATTAGTCTGCAATAATTGTTTTTCTTCAATTATGATATTCTAGTTTTGTTGAATTTGTTCATTTTTCAACATTCATCTCTAAAACATTTGATCTGCATAATAATATCTGCTGTCTTATCTCCTTGTTGCTTTTAGCTGCATAGACTGTGAATTTGGTTATGACAAATGATTCCTCATGTTGAAAAAGTGACACTGGTGCTTCAACCACATTCTTGTTTGAACACGTTTTGTTGAATCCTGACACAAACGACACATATTGTCTCATTGTGGATCTAAGCTGATTTCATGTCAGTGATTTTCAGGTGAAACTTCAGAATAAAGCTTTCATTATGCCTCACCGTTAAGCTGCTAGTGATGGGACGCTGCCCCCTACAGGAAGGTTGTGTTTTTACGCCACATGGACTCCAGGGATTGTTTATCATTGCTTAATTTTTATTAATTGGATAAAATTAATGTGTTTAATCCCTGAAAATAAAATTGTTTATTTCTGTATTTATGTGTTTTGTGTCCTGTAGATATTAAGTCAGACTTAAAATCTCTTCTGTTCATCTGCTTAGACGTGAAAAGCAGCATTTCACCATCCATCCATACCAAAAGAGATCAATTCAGTTTTATATGTAAATAAAAAAATCTTCCACCATCAGCAGCCACGAAGCAATAAGACTGATTTACATGAAAAACATATAAGTTCTGAAGAATAATTTTATTTTTCAGCAGAACTGAACTATATACTGTAGAAATTCATAAAGTAACAGATGAAAAAAATATTAGAGATACACTACTATGATTTGTCAGTGTTCAGCTTAATGGTTGTAAATTTCATATCAGAATTTAGTGAAATATCTCTAACTTTTATTTATGATCAATTATTTTTAAAATAGTCAACCTTAAAAATACCCCAAAACTAATTACAGTATTTCAGTAAAAAATGACAAAGCAACTAAACATGATTTTATTTAAATCTTAAAATTTACTGGATACAAAATCTGTAATAAAGGCATAAATATGGACTAAAGCACATGTGTCAAACTCAAGGCCCGCGGGCCACATGTGGCCCGCC